TGTAACATGGACTGCAAAAATGTCGCTGTTCGATGTGTTCCTTCAAAGGGCCAGGGATGAATGGGGCCCAAGATTTTTTCCTTGCTGCATCATCATCTTTTGAGGTCAGACAGCGGAGCAGAGACGATGATGATGGTGAAGAAGAAGAGGAAGAGGATGAGGATGAGGAGTTAGCGAAGCTGCTTCACTAGTGGAGGGTAGATTCGGTAGATGCTTTGAACATGAAAGACGTCACTGACCATTTTGGAGTGATTTTTTTCCGACTCTGCAGTGCCTTTTTCATATCTAAACATAGGTGCTGCATGGTGCTGCACGTGACCCTGTTGGAAGGACGAAAGGGAAGATGATGGAGATACCGTCAGTTCTTTGGAGCGAAATGCTGACAAGGCGCGAAAGGTTGGGATATCAACCAAGTTTCCTACGTGAAACTACGGTCCATAGCACTATAATTAATAGTGACTAGAAATATTTCCAACACTATAAAAAGGTTGGCTAAAATTTCCCTTCACAACACTATATATATATATACATAAACTGGAGAAACCAAAATCATTGGGCCAGAAGTCAAGCCGCGCAAGCTAGTTGAAACTGTTTTTCAAACGGCAAGACGTGCTAGTGCAGTCAACCGTGTCAACCTGCCACATGAACGAGTCTTTTTGGATAACAGATCACAAAAAATCCCAACTAGATTCCAATTGCATTGTATCTACCATCTGGTTATTTAACATAGCCATGGAAAGATCCACCATTCTTAAGAGGTAAACCATCTATTTCTATGGGCCATGGCTTAACCATGGCGAACTGTTAGTCATAACCAGAGGGTAGATCAAAATGATGAGGAAAAACCATGAAAATGAATGATTTGAGCTCGGTGGTTACTGGGTGCGCCCCTTGCGCACCTGCCGATGTGAACAGCGCTCTGTGCAGTCCCCAGCGTCCCAGGTCTGTTTCGACTTCCGACTGGGCGAGCTGCCTCGGGGAGTGGAACATGAGGGGCAGCCAGCACGGCTGATGAGAACAGCAGACTCAGGTGGGCCATGGTGGGCCATGTCCAGGAAATGGAGGACGTGGCTACCAAAACCATCTCATACTCTTTGTATTTCGGATTTCGGAAAGTGGATGAGATTTGGACTTTGCAACCAACATTCATCAGCATGAGAATGAGTTGAGTTGAGAATGCGTTGTTTGTTCAGGTAGAAACCATGGGATGGCTAGTTTTTTTCGGGTTTTCCCCCAAAAAAACACCAAAATTGGGGGATGTTTTTGAGTTAGCCTCGTGGCCCACTGCTGACTGCTCTTGGTATCATCGTTTTGAGGAGATGCCACGATCTTGTCGGTTCCACCTGGAGGATACATGAGGCTTCCCTTGGACTTCTCGGCGCCTCGGTTCAGTTTCGCTTCAGTTTTTGGTGTTCTAAACAGCTGGCTTTTCCACGTTGAAACCACGTTGCAACTGACGAGTTGCTTGACATGTTGCAACAAAGGAGAAGCACGGTGCTACTGTCACTCAATATACACTGGTGGTGGAGTGACTCAGGCTGCAATGACAGAACTGCGTAAAGTTGAGCAGGTGGTCGTTTGGATCATGCAGTTGTTGGGTTGTGCAGCTGTTAAATGAAAGGAATTGCTTTGGTGCTATTTGGTACTAATGACAGGTTATGAAAGTAGACTTGATGATTTATGTAGTGGGGTTGGGGCCTCCTGAGATTTTAGAACTAAAAAGCATTAGAAAGCGGTGATGTGAATGATCTTGGCAACAGCTGTAGCGCAAAGCCGAAGGCCTTGCCCATGAATCTTATAAAAACCAATTACGGATTTATGTGGCCAGCAGGCTACCTTCTGGTAAACTAACATAGCTATTGAAAATGGCCATTCTTAGTGGATTTACCAATTAATTAAAAACAGTGATTTTCCATAGCTATGTTAGTTTACCAGAGGGTAGTGGTCATTGCTGATATCCGATATCCCCGATATCCAAGAAAGTGACTGAACCATTCTCATCCATCATCCTGACCTCTTTTTTTTCTTGCCGGAAACTCAGGTTGCGATGCTCCCATCCCCGTCCCTTGTCCCTCTTTCAAGCGACCTGGCCAGAAGTCTCAGCGACTTGGCAGTTTTAGTGTGGTTTCAAGGGGAGAAGTTCACCAGAGGCTTGGCAAACTGTTTTTCCCCTCTGGTAAACATACAAAAAACGATGGAAAATCACGGTTTTTAATGGGTAAATCCACTATTTCGACTGGGCCATTTTCAATAGCTATGTAAACGTTTACCAGAGGGTAGAGTTTGAGATCTTCTGAATGCATCCAGGCAAATCACCCTACCATCTCTGAATGCATCGTGGACGACGGCCGACTTCTTGTGGGTGGTGCAGAAAGCGAAACGATGAGATCATTGGCGACGGCCAGAAGCTTTGCTGAAAGTTGCTGTTACCCTCTGGTAAACTAACATAGCTATTGAAAATGGCCTATTTATAGTGGATTTACCTATTAAAAAAGGTGATTTTCCATAGTTATGTTAGTTTACCAGAGGGTACAACACTTCCAGCTTGTTAAAACCTGCAGAAATTGTTCCGAGGACAACAAAACCGCTTCATTCGGCTCTTCTATGTGTGCGATGCGAAGGAGGGTCAAATCGAGGTCTATGTGAATCTAAGATGGCAGTTGAGGTTGCAAGGACGGCTAGAGGTGACGCAGTTGGCACAACGGTGCACACCTCATGAATACCATCATGAATCATGAATCAGCAATTTCAAGTTTTTTCAATGGCGTTCTTGGTTCTTTCTTTCGAAACTTCAACTGAGGAAGATAGGAAGGATGTTTGCAACGGACAGATATCTGATATTATGGGACATGTTCTGACATTGAATAGTGGAGATGTAGGCCGTTGATTCATGTATTCTGCCTAGTTTCATGCAATGAAACACAAGGAAGTTTAAATAAGTTTAATGTTGAAACAATAATCAGTTGACCAGCCCAGGAGGGTTAGATTCTTGACGGATTGTATGATAACCTTGATAATCTTTTTGGATTCTGTTGGTTTTTGCACATCTGGAGTGGTTTCACCACGGCAAGAAAGACATTAGAACAGCAGAACAGAAGACAGTAGACGGAAATAGAACGAGCACCGTGGCGTTGCTGTGTGATCTGTGTGCCTCATGACTGGCCCCGCTGAGGAATGCAGACCTGGCATTGCGAGTGAACAACGTACAGCAGAGCCGTTTTCAGCTGGATCGAAAAGGCTTGCTTCTGCTGGCCAGCAACAGAAGCTTGGATTTTTTAGAATTTACCCTCTGGTAATTTAACATAGCTATGGAAAGATCCACCATTTTTAATAGGAAAATCCACTATTTCGACTGGGCCATGGCTTCAATAGCTATTTTGACATAACCAGAGGGTACAAAAATTCAACGCTAGTGATGCCACTTGAGGTGCTTCATACATGCCCGGGAACGTGGAACTGAAGCGTGTGGAACTTCACCGACGTCTCATGAACTCACAGGACGCATAAAAAAAACTGCAACTGATGAATCCAGATGTATAATGCCAAGGGGTAATGAGATGTAATACAGGGGTTGGTAACTGTCCCATTTTGGGAATATTGGACATCACCTTATAGTAGCCATTATAGACCATATACCTAATGGTTGGGTGATGTTCAATGGGGACATTTAATGACCCATGTAATAAGATGTAATGATATGTAATGAGATGAATTAGGGGAATGATCAGACATGATCAGACACCCGATTTTCGAATCTGTCATTGGCGTAGTTGGCTCAGAGGACATCAAAGCTCATGCCTCACAGCGCTGGTCCTTCCGGGGTGCTGCTCTCTCGTCGGCGCTGCGACAGCTGCGGGGGAAGTTATCCCTCTGCGCACTGGACAAGAAACCGCGACTTGGACTTAACTCGCCAAGTTTTCCAAGTTTCCAATTTGAAGATAGCTTCGTTCCATTTTCGACCGGAGGGCTATTGTCTTTTGGGAATTACTCCTTTTTCGTTTTGTTTTCTTGATGTCTGTTTCCCTGCTTCTCTGCTTTTCCCTGCTTCTTTGCTTCTCTGCTTTTCCCTGCTTCTTTGCTTCTGCGCTTTTCTGCTTTTTGTTTTTCTGCTTTTCCCTGCTTCTTTGTCGTCTTGGCTTCTCTGCTTGTCCGCTTTTTGCTTCTCAAGCCCAAATAAACCCGAAGAAACATTATATATATATAGACAGAGATAAACCCTAAACCAACCCTAATTCAACCCTGAATAAACCCCAAACCAAACTAAAGCAACCCTTAGAAAACCCGAAAGAAAACCTAGGGACCTAGATGAATTCTGAAACTTAGCCCATATAAACCCTAAACCAACCCTAAATAGATCTTAAACCACACCTAGATGAACCCTAAACCAACCTTAAACCAACCCTAAACAAACCCTAAATCAATCATAAATAAACCTTAAACTAACCCTAAATAAACCCTAAACCAACCCTTAAAACACCTAAAGCCAGTCCTAAAACCAACCCTAAAAAAGGCTCTTAAACACCTTAAAACCAACCCTAAACCAACCCTGAATAAACCTTAAAGCAACCCGAAACCAGGCCCAAATAAACTCTAAAGCAACATGCAACATGAACGGTTGGAGCACCAACATGTTGCAAATACCGTTGAAATGGTAGCTTCCAGCGCCAAAATTCTGACAAAAGCAAGGAAAACGGACAGAACAGGAAATAACACAAATCCCAAAACGGGAAACACAGAATTGTCAAAACGATTCCGAACCCTTTTAGACCCATCACTGCCATCAACTTCAAGGTGATTTGATGAGCGCTGACAGAGAGTCCATCATGGCCATTTTGCTGAGTTTCAAAGTGTCAAAATGTTTGTGTCAAGTTCACTCTGCTGCATCTTGCATACAAAGAACCCTACTAGTACAGTTGAGGCAGCCAGTTTGGTGTGATCTATCGCAGCTTGGCTTCAGCAAGGTAAGTTTCGTGGTTAGAAAACCAAGGCAGTTAGGCCCTTTTCCCAATGGCTCTTGCTGCAAGTCGAAGCTCAGATCACTCGAAAACAGTGGGTGAAGCAATAGAAAGCAAGCCGAAGCAATCCGTAGGTCATGAGTGTTCTTGAGTTTGATACCGCTGATGGGCGATGCCCAGCCAGCAATGGGTACCACTGATACCATGGTATGTAGTTACAATGTAGTTCACATGAGGTCCATAAATTTTCCGCGACGTTTTTTTCTTCTCCATTCATAGATTCGCACCTTTTCTCTAACTAGGGACTCAGGTTCTTGGCTCATTTCTGCGACGTTTTTATGAACATTAACAATGGAAGCATCTACCGATCTCTACAGGCCGGGGATGGCAGGGATGGTAGGGATGGCAGGGATGTAGGATTCCACCATTTAGAAACACAGCTGGGATTCCAGCATATTCCAGCTGGGATGATCCTGAGAAAACCCTGGCTGAACTCAACGAACGGTCAGGTGGTTCATCTGGGACTTGAGAAACTCATTGCCGAGAAGAATCCTTTGATGTCTGCAGACGACCAGGACAGGGGACACCTGGAGCCCGGAGGGTGAAACACAAATTGTCACAATGGAGCAATGACTGGGTGCAGTTCGATTCACACATGGCATGAATTTCATGAATTCAGACATATTGCCAAATTCAAGCCTTTCAGCTCTTCAATCATCCTCCATGTCCCTGATTCTTAGAAAGGTGAAACGGTTGCATCAACGGGCATTTTCGGGTTCCGAAAAAACTGTGAGGCTGCTGCAAAGAAAGCCTGTGGCATCTTTGAATCAGGCCATGGGATACGGATGGATACGGATTAGCTGTAGCTCTGCAGTGAAAGACACCGGTGTTGATTGGGATCCACAGGGACCATCAGGGACCCGGACATACTGAGCCACACAACAAAACTGGACATCTTGAGGTCTCGACCTCTTCAGGAAATATGACAGGACGAAAGGAGAGGTGCTGCGGCTGTTTCAAAGGGTTCTTTTCGTTGGGCAGGACATCAGCAATTTGTAAGACTGAGCGTAGAAATTCTTCACTGGTGGATTTCAGTGATCATTGACTGGTTGGTGGTTTCAAACATTTTATATTTTTCCATTCAGTTGGGAATGTCATCATCCCAACCGACGAACTCATATTTTTGAGAGGGGTAGGGCTCAACCACCAACCAGTTGATTGTGCACAGCTTGATGCAGCGTGAAGTTGATCGAGGTCGATCCATATGATGACTACGCAGAGATGCCGGGACTTCTTCCCTTTCTCAAAAGGCAAGGGTTTTTCAAATGCAGAGCTTGAGCTGTTCTACTGGATGCTAAAGAATATGAGTTTCAATGGATTGGTGAAAAAGGGAAAATTTACAGGAAACCATGGTTTTTACCATCAGATATAGGGCTTTCCGGTTAAACATTTTCCCATCATCCAATTCTATGGGAGTTGGTAGCTGTTCTCCCATGGCCCATGTAAATCTCCAAGAATTTCACACAAAAGACGGGACGAGGCTGCGGCGAGCGCTTACGGGACTGGAAGTGGGCGCCATGTGTTTGCTGCCTGGTGGTTGGGGCTGTGGCGACTTTATGGCCAGGCAGTATATCAGCTTTGCAACCTGGCGCACCAGGTTTGCACCAGGCACCAGCACCTCATAAATGATCATCATGGCATTTTTGCAAATGCCCATTTTTGGTCAGACCGGCCTGTCCTTTGCACATCTTTTTTTTCGGAAAAACTAAGGTATTGGATGCTCGCTCACATTGGCATAGGCTTAGAGCTGGCTTGTTTAGTGGCTTGAGATTGATCAAGTGACGTTCATTTGGCAGAGGCAAGTAGCATGAACATATATGGGAGCCGTCCAAAAACCCCAGAAAGGTTTTTAGTAAAGGACCTATTCTCGCATTTTTCCCATGGTCTAAAACCTGCATCGCGCAAGTTTCGTGCAAGGGCGGCCCAAGGTACGCGCAAGTACTATTGTTATCATTATTACAAATACTATTTTTAATTAACATTTTGATTACTACTACTACTACGACGACGACTACTACCACTACCACTACCACTACCACTACCACTACTACTACTACTACTACTACTAGTCCTACTATTCCTACTACTACTACTACTACTACTACCACTACCACTACTACTACTACTACCACTACTACTACTACTACCACTACTACTACTACTACCACTACTACTACTACTACTACTACTACCACTAGCTACTACTACTACTACTACTACCACTAGCTACCACTACTACTACAATTACTACTACTACTACTGCTGCTACTACTCCTACTACTACCACTACCACTACCACTACCACTACCACTACCACTACCACTACCACTACCACTACCACTACTACTACTACTACTACTACTACTACTACTACTACTACTACTACTACTACTACTACCGTATCTGATTTAGATCTTAAATATTAATATCTCGAGTTGATAAACATAGATAACCAGGGTGGTAAATAGGCCATCCAAAGAAAAAG